ACTTCATATCGCGCTATATAGACTCGTTTGGTTCCTAACAAATGGTATTAGAGCTTTGGTTTGATTTGTTCGAGGTTTGTTCTTGATGGCAATCATGAAGTATGACATTCTGCGTTTGGATCGCATCACTAGATTCTCATTGCGGCAGGTGAAGATGCAAGCAGTACTCGTTCAGATGGATTTGGATGATACATTGTTGGAATTTAACAAGATGCCCACAACTTGGACGAAGGAGGAGAAACAACATAAGGATTGATATGCACTTTTACAAATATTCATCTTTCAAAGAATATTCTTCAGGACATTTTGAAAGAGAAAACTACAGCTGCGTTATAGTTGAAATTGGAGCAATTGTGCATGACTAAAAGTCTAACCAGCAAATTGCACCGGAAGCAGAGGTTGTAATCTCATCATGTGACAGAAGGCGGAGAAAGACTTATTGTTCATGGTGGTCACGAAAAGGGCAAGACGAAATCTAATTTCAGAAATCCAATTTGTTTTTATCGCAAGAAGAATTACACATCAAGAAGGATTGCAACAGGTTGCAGAATAAAATAAGTTGGCCATAAATAAGAAGAAAAGGTAATCAGATACTTCAGGTTAAGCCGATGTTGCAGAGTACAATTTGAGTTATGAGGATCTTTTGGCTATTTTTTAAGACGAATCTAAACGTGACGAGAATTGGATTCTGGATTTAGCTTGTGTTTTTCATGAGTCCGAATCGTGATTTGTTTTTAACATATGAAACAGTTTCGAAAGATTTCGTGATCATGGGAAACAATGTACCTTGTTGGGTAGTCAAAGGGATCAAATATAGGCAAAGCATGATCACACATCATTTTCCAACAGAAAAAGTTATGCTCCAGATTTGTAGTCTTATATTGAGACTCATTTTTGACATATCAAACGTTTGATTGGAAAATGATATATGAAGCAAAGTTGTAGCCCTTTGAGTTATCTTTCCAAAGTATCTTGAATTACCTCAATCGGACATCAGGAAAAAGTTATGATAAGTACATTGAAGGACGTGCAGTGCAGTTTTTCCACCCAAAGATGAGCACTGCAGCGCCCACATTAGTGAAACCAACAGATTCGCGGTGCCGCAGCGCCGCTACGTGCCACCGAGGCGCCGCCTGTGCGAGAAATAGGTTTTTTATTTTTTTGGACTCTTTTCTTGGCCCAATACGACTCCAGTCCTTTCAAGATTTCATAATGATATAAATATAACCCTAAAGACCACTTTTGAAGGGGAATTCAACACACAATTGAAGGAGGCAAAGTGGGCATAATTCAAGAAATCAAAGGGAGGCAAGAAAATCAAGGAAGAAGATTGAAGATCTATCCAA